GAAACGGGCAGGACTTCTTGCTCTTGGGAACACTTCTTTTCTTTCAGCAACAGAATTGTATTTTATTTGATCAATGAGACATAAAACGGAACACCTTAAACAGATGCTTTTGGATGGCAGTTGTGACCGATTTAGGTATAGCAGTCATTTGCCGCATAAAGATGGCAGCACTTAAGGGCTGTTTTGTCGCAGCACTGAACGCAAGGTAACCGTTATCCTAACCTCAACGTTTGTTACTGTCTCTTTTATTTTTCTTGGTTCATGTTTATCCATGGATACCGGAGATTTTATTAATTACGAAGGAACATATATTTACGTAATGTTAATTAGGCAGATTACCTTGAAAAACATTGTTGCCATCCTTCTCATCTAGTTTTTTGCAAACATCTGAGTTTTTAATAACTATTCATTTTTTTGTTATATTTTCTATACTCCCCCAGACAACACCTCCAGACGAATGACTCCAATTTTGAATTATCCTGTATGTACTGATCTACGTTTTCTATTACTAGGTCTTGAATTTCCAAATGTTCTCCTATTGGATATTATTTTAGTTTTGCTGATATTCATCAAGTCTCACTGTTGATGACATGTGCTTTAGATCTTCTGGCATTGTTCTAAGTTCATTTCAAAGCGTAAATGATTCAGATATGAGCCGTATATTTTAATTTTTTTATTTTTCCATTGAATTTTTTAAAATATGTTCTCAAGGGCCAGTGTAAACTATTTTGGGGAGATTATGTCTCCTTGGCGTACACGTCGAGCTACCGGGATTTTATTCGTCTTAGTATCCTGATCTATTTGGACACAGAAGGAGTCATTTTCGTATATGATGTTTATAAGCTGCAAAACCTGGAGTCTATGCTGACATAATCCATTGATGAGAGGAAGGCCCATGTTTCTATATAGTTAGTCTGTTTGTTACGATTCTCTTTAATAATTTATATCAGTGAGTGAGCAGAGTTATCGGGTGATTATTTCACTCATCCATAGCAACGCCATAAGGCAAAAAAGGTATTAATAAACGGTAATTCGATAATTTTCAAAAAAACTTAGAGCGGTAATTTCACGTCGTCATGGAATCATGAAAAATATCACTGTCGACTGATTTATTTAAAGTGATTGATGCCAAATATATTATGAAATTTAATTTTTAATATTTAATTCGAGAAATAATCTCACTAAATRCCACTCGAGCTTTAAAATTAACCATATAATTTTTCAYTCTGGCATGTTTTCCTTGCAAATTTCACTCGTCCTTCGGACTCGTGAAATTATGGAAAACATGCAATCGWAAAAAATTATCGGTAATTTCAAAGCACTCGTGGTATTACCCCCGATAAGTCTCTCCTCCGCGTTATGCCAGTTCTTTGATATTAAAAGACTCATCCAGACATTTGTTGAAAAGTAATTTTAGAGCGTGTATTAATGTTGGTCTTCCATTTTTTAGTATTTTGCAAGTTCTATTATCCTTACGAGTTTTCATTTGTTTAAGTGTTGCATATATTTCTGTGGTTGTAATTTCTGTTATTTGTTCCGAATCTACGTTCATAATTTTTAGTTTTTGTCTGCTAAAATCCGCCATCGCTGTTGTGGATATACACCACGCGGTAGAACTTCTCTTCTGTTCTCGATCTCTCCTGTAGTGGGGAATTTTTCTTTATGAAATAATTTCTTCCTTTCGTCCTTTGTATTAATTCTAAAGGCGGCTTTGATCAAACGGTGGTCCCTTCCAGCGTCGAATTTGTTTAATACTGTCACATCCCTGCATATTTTCCTGTTGTTGGAAAGAATAAAATCTATTTCATTTTTAAATGTTTTGCTGATGCAAGTCCACTTTCGACGGGGAGGATTTTTGAAGAAAGTGTTTAGGTAGTATAGGTAAACTTTATTTGCTAAGAGAATTCGTATAGCATTTCACCTCTATCGTTCGTTCTTTAATGCGTCACCCCGATATTTGAACAGTTTATTATAAGTAATATCCAGTCCTGGTGCTTTCCGATTTATCAGCTTAGATACTAGTTCAATTTCTTTTGTTATTGTCTAGTTTTGGTTCTCTCTGTGTTCGTTGTAATCATTTTCACTTGCCAGTTCAGTATATCGTCTATACAGGGTGATTCAAAATTAGCGTCATTCCTCTGGAGGTGTTGTCTGGCGGTGTTTGAAGAATGCAGAAAAATTAGTAAAAAAGTTAGTTGTTATTAAAAACTGAGAAATTTGCAAAAAGCTGTATTAGGAAAACGGCAACAATGTTCTTTAAGGTAATCTGCCTAATTAACATTAGATAAATTGCTTCGTAATTATTTAAAACTCCGGTAATCATAGATAAATTGAGAGTGGCAATAAGGTAGACAAGGATAAACGGTAAATTCAACAGGAATCGTTGAATGACGGAACATATTTCGAAACTCATAACCTCGAACTATTAATTTGTTTGCAAAGTACAAAAACATACATTTGTGTTTGCAACTCTAAAGCAAAGCAAAGCAAAGATCGCATTAATCTGTTGTTATTGCTTTCATCATCATCATCATCAATCAGCGTATTGTCATCTACTGCTGGGCGAAGGCCTCCCCCAGTGTCTTCCATCTGTTCCTGTTTTGTGCCTTTCCGATTCAATTCCCCGCAGCTCTTCTGAGATCGTCTGTCCATCGGGTTGGCGGCCGTCTTCTGCTGTGCTTGCCAGCGCGCGGTCTCCATTCTAGTATTTTCTGAGTCCATCGGCCGTCCCGCATTCTAGCTACGTGCCCTGCCCATTTCCATTTCTGCTTTGCCACACACTCAATCAAGTCGGCCTCTCCTGTTCTTTGCCTTATCTAGTCGTTCGTCACGTGATCCCTCAGTGATATCCGAAACATTGCTCTTTCCATTATTCGTTAATGTATCTTTAATTTTCTCGTAGAACACACTGGTCATTCACTTTCCTTTTCAGGCAGATTGGTATATCACTGTTAAACGTCTCTGTTAGTCTTCCTTAAGCTGCTCATGCCATTTTGATTCTTCTGTTCAGTTTCGCTGTTTGGTTATCTCTTGACATCCTAATTTTGTGTCCGAAGCAGACTAGTTCGTATATCTCCTCTTTCAGTTTTTATGTCTCTGCTTGGCACTAAATTTGTCATATACTTCGTCTTTGATAAATTAATCTGTAATCCGACCACCGAACAGGCTTCTTGGAGTTCTTCTACCGTTATTCTTATGTCCTTTAGATTGTCGGAGATCAGGACAATGTCGTCATCAGCATATCTCAGGTTTTTGTAGATGTTAAACAAGGTGGTTTTTTTAGTGCGATAGTCTATTATTTCCGATGGTGTTAAACTTTCGAAAAATAGTTTCATATGAAGGTTGTTGACACACAAAGTGCGCACATTTTAAAAATATCTCATATAATACAGAGTGTCTCAGAAAAGCGAGGCACGGTCAAAGTGTATTTTTTTAAATAGAACTACCCATTTTTTATCAGCTCATGGAATGCAGCTTGAAACGCTGCATATGCAACGTAAATGGTTTTTTTCTTACTTGCGACGCTGGCAGATTATCGCCATTTTAGTAAAATTTTGCTTAAAAACATGGTACCTAAAAATTCATTGTAGAAATAAAAAAAGCAGTTAAAGATAAAAAAATGCGTCTTTCCAATCACCACATATCCGTTAAGAATTCTATTAACCCTAAATATTAATACATTGTACAGGGTGTTAACAATGTGGACTTTAATCTAAAAGTTGTTAACGCAATATAACTTTTGTTTTTCACATGGAAGTACCTGTATTACTTATTAGTACTTATTTAATGAATTCTATAGCCACCTTACAAAATTTAATTTACAATTTGAAAACGCTTGATTTCACAGCTTAAAGTGTAAATGCAAATTTGTAACTTTGTAAATTGTCTATTTAATGACGTATTAATATACAGGTACTTCCATTGTATTGATATTTTGGTTCAATAGAATTCTTAACGGATGTGTGGTGAATGGAAAGACGTATTTTTTGTATCTTTAACTGCTTTTTTTTGGTTCTACAATGATGTTTTAGGTACCATGTTTTTAAGCAAAATTTTACTAAAATGGCGATAATCTGCCAACGTCGCAAGTAAGAAAAAAACAATTTACGGTGCATATGCAGCGTTTCAAGCTGCATTCCATAAGCTAATAAAAAATGGGTAGTTCTATAAAAAAATTACACTTTGATCTTGCGTTTTTCTGAGACACTCTGTATCATATAAGATATTTTTAAAATGTGCGCACTTTGTGCGTCAACAACTTTTATATGAAACTATTTTTCGAAAATTGAACACCATCGGAAATAATGGACTCTATCGCACTAAAAAACCACCCTGTATTAACCTGTGTTAATTTTAAATTAATAATTATATATATTAACCTTGTATATCTGTAGTCCACTCGTCACTTGTTTAGTGATTCTAATACTGCTTCCAAGCTTATCGAGTCAAAAGCTTTGTGGAAGTCTACGAATATTAGGACTAGTCGTCTGTTATATTCAACGGAATTCTCTATTATTGTCTGTTATTGCTTTGGGTTTGTAGATATTCATTAATAGTTTTTTTTGCTGTTTTGTAGCATACTTCATATAATTTTTTGTCCTCCGTATATATCATGCTCCATGTCTAACAATTTTTCTCCCAGAACCCTCTTTTGATTGCCTGAATATCTATGTTCACGCTGTTTAGCACACATTTTTATTTATCATATGTGATGGTTTGACTTCTTAGCTGAAGGTAAGCCTTTCTTTTCTCTGCTGCAAGCTTTTTGATACCTTCGGTAAACTATGGCTTCAAGTTGCACATTCCATTTTTCTTTATTTTGCGTTTACCTAGCGCTTCTTCTGCAGCTGCCGTTATGTTGTTACTAAGTATCATTCACGCAAACTCAACAACATCGTTATTCAGAATTTAATTTTAAACCTTTTCTCTCTTGATCTTTGTTGGTATAAGCATTTTGTGGTAGCGTCGCTGACGGTCTCTATATTTCGAACGACGTTTGTAAGCACGTATTCCAGGATATCTTCTAAGTGAATATGTTCTACATTTTTATAGTTTCATCATAAGATTTCTCACATTGTTTCTTAGTTGTAGACCTATTAGGCTTTCCTGAAGCCGCACCACTAATCAGTTTCAGCTCTGAAGTATATGTTATTACATGGGTAAAGGGCCCTTTAGTTTAAAAACAGAGTTATATATTTCTAGCGGGTCACTGATATTTTGCAGTTAGTATCCCACATATTTCTACTTTGTTTATTTGTTTACTGAACATCCTTATCACTGTGTCGTTTTAACATACGGTTTCAGACTCGGTTGGACTTTTGCCACAGAAATAAACTATTCTTTAATATATTTAGCTCGGTTTGGCCTATTATTTGTCAAGTGTTTTCGAAACTATACGGTTTACATAGTTGTTGCCACGCTATTATTTGTTCCATTCACACAAAAAAGGATTACTTCATCAGGTCAGTGCTTATATTCCGTTCTAAAGGAAACATTTTTATTGTGATTGTTCCAAATCAAAATTAATTCCGGGGTTTCAGTCATTTATTGTCTCTATTTATCAATTAAAATACGTTTTGGTGTATTTTTCAACCATCATCAGTTTTTATGTGTAGCGTTGTTGCTGCATAAATGACTGAAACCCAGGAATTAATTTTGATTTGGAATTGAAACAGAGTCAGGAAAGTATGTACAATTGTGATTGTTGCAAACATTTTAATGAACTCTCGGAAATAGCCGAAGTGGTGGTAAGTAGCAAGAAAGAAAGGGTTTTAGTGGGTAAACAGTCATGCTAAAATCCGACACAGCTCAGAAGGTAATTTGCTAAAATTTAAAAGATCAGAAAAGAAAAATAACCGAGTAACAATTTTCCTTTCTTTTGTGCTTTTGAAAGAGCTACTAGTTTGAAAAATGCTTTTTACTACTACTCTGAGAAGGCACGATTATTTACTCCATTCACCTAATGAGAAGTCATATTTCTCGCCCTAGCTCAATAATAATAAATAAAACCTAGGTAAATAATCAAAGATGTTTAAGTTTTTCATTATTTTTAGGTTGCCCGCCTTCTTAAGTTCAAATGAGATCCCATCCATTTGCACTTCCAAATCACTGTACCACTTTAAGATTCACTAATTTTTTGCTTTTCCTGGAAGTTTTTCATACAACTGTTATCCGTATTTTAAAGAAAAATTTTGAATCTCGCGTTAAAAAAGAGTTAAAGCTAGTGATGGGCACTTTCTAGTAATTACTAAATGAATGATTGCAAGTATCGAATAAAATCATTCATTGAATAGTGCGCGCTATCTAGTGCAGTGTATGACAGTTACAAATTACAAACTTATATTCTTTTGAAAAGTATATTCTTATCCTTGCTGGGTCACAGTCAAAGTGTGAAGTAAAAATTTTGAATATCGGTTATTTCATTACGTTTCGGCGAGACAACAGCGCCATGATCTGATTCAAAATTGTCGTCATTCTTTTGAAGGGGTGATAGAGGCTCCCTCGGGGAGTACGAGAAAAATATTGAAAAATTTTTTTTCGAAAATTTCTAGAAGATATTAACAGTTGAAGATCGAATTTCAACTATGTTATTAAGGATTATTTTGAAATTGTTCCATGTTTAATTGGTAGCATATTGGAATACTTAAGCATTCAAAAAGAAAAATTACGATCTTTGCTTCAAATTACGAAAAGTTTTGATATCAAAAAAGTTCTCTTCTACAATTTTTTGATGAAGTCACAGCGGCTATGATGTTTTTTGTCATTAACAGATAGATACAGGTGGATACCTTTGTCAATAATAACAATAATTTGTTAAACTGAGACTTACTTTGAATTTCCTTTCACGAATTTGCGATTAGTTCAGAGGAAATGCTACAGTAACATAGTAGAAGCTGAAAGAACTCACGCCAACAAAGTGCAAGAAAGGGGGGTTCGGGTTCCAGGAAGATAGTCTACGACAATCGATGTTCGGGTTCCAGACAAAGAGAAACAAGTATTTCACATAATCGAATCAGGGACTCCAGGGGTACTCAGAGCACAATAACTGACACTTTCCCAAACACCAATTAAATACCGAGGAAGGGTTACATTCCAACCACGTTTGTACGATACACACAGTACAAGGACATATTAAACCAATAGCTTACTGAACACCGATACAAATTGAGCAGGAGTTAATTAACTGAATACGAGAAGCTGCTTGAGAAGAGTAGATAATGAGATTAGACAGGCACTAGCTTGTTTGGAGTTAACCATTCAAATGTTTGGTGTTGTATGGTTTATTTGTTACAAAAACACGTTATTATTTACAAATTCGAGGTTATGAAAACAGGTTGACATTTTGAAAGTACGTTCCGCAGTCAACAACTCTTGTTGAATTTACCGTTTTCCTTGTCTATCTTATTGTCACTATATAATTCCATGGTTACCGGAGTTTTAAATAATTACGAAGCAACAGGTATTTGCGCATTGTTATTTAGGCAGATTACCTTGAAAAACATTGCTACCGTATTTCTGATATAGTTTTTTTGCAAATTTCTCAGGTTTTAATAACAATTAATTTCTTTTATTTTTTCTGTACTCCTATAACAGCGCCAGACAACACCTCCAGAGGAATGACGACAATTTTGAATCACCCTGTAGAGGGTTATTCAATTGTCTCGCATAAAATTAATTTAGGCTATTTGTTCTAAAAATGCGTAAATACGGAACCTTATTGAAATAAGTGTTGAATATTTTGTTTCAACGTTAACTTTTTATTTACAACATTTGCCTATTAAGTCGAAACCCCTCTGATATAGCAGTTTCAACATAAAATTCGACGGCTTTATGATGCTGTAGTATCACTTATCTGCATGTAAGAAAAAAATATATGTATTAAGGGAATTTGAATCTTCAAATGCAAAATCCGCCATTGCAAATCTAACCATATAAATGGATACATACCAATTAAAATTTTGCGTAGATTTAGACCATCAATTTTGAAATTGTTATTTTTCTGGTTCTTCCACGAACAAGGATTTATCGACTTCAACAAGGGGCTCGGGAACCGATGCTTCTTAGTGCAATTACGGCTTTGAAATTATTTTGATCGGAAGAATCTTTTATTTTCAACTTCTTATTGGGAATTGAAGAACTCGTGTTAGATAAAATACGGCGTTGATGCCGACTGAACAAATCTATAAAATCACATGGCAATTTTTGGTATCTGGCCAAACAGTAGAAAATAAATAAAAACGTACTTATATATTTGGTCATTTACCTTGAAATATTCAAATCGTGGAAGGACTCTTTCTACTTGTTTGTAGAGTATGTATGTTTTAAAACAATAGCCCATGCTCAATGCACAAGCGAACAAATGCAAATAAACAAAAATTTCAGTCTGATAGAAAAAGTACCCGAGAAAAATGACCTGGCCTGCCTCGTGCCTGGCACATTTTCATAGGAGGGTTCGTTTGTGTGACTCCACGGGTTGTCCGTGAAACCTAGTGGAATTCGGTAGCAATTTGAATTACACCAGATGGTACGCATCTAGTAAACCATGTTACATCACGGTTACATAACATCGCTGTCACAAAAAAATTGTTTTCCTGTTCTTCTTATGTTACATCAATGTTATGTAAAAGCGTTACATAAATCTAAGTCACAAAAATTACATAACATTTATATAATGTTACAAGTTTGGTTTGCTGAGACTGTATCAATACCAATCAATACCAAGTGAAGTCTAGTGACAGCTAAAGAGCGGAAAAATGCATTTTCTGCATTTTTTGCATTTATTGCCAAAAATAGTTTAACAACCCTAATAAAATCCCACATTACTTAAACGGTAACCTAAAAGTTTTTACCTACCTACATTTTCAGCTAATTAAATTTTATGGTCTTATGATTGGGTATTTCCCATAGATGGACAGCCAGTTCTATATTAAATCTCATCGGCTTTGTCATCACATGATATCACGCAATATATTGCAGACGATATATTGCGTCTTCAAAATTCCCGACGAATCAACTTTACAAAAAGAAAGCGCTGATTCTTAACAATGAATCAAATTAGAAATAAGGTTGGCGAAAACAACGTTTACATTGAATAGATAAAACTACAGACTCATCTGGTAGATATATTGCGCACGCATTAATTGGTGTCCTAGAGGAAGACAATTCAAGCAAACCTTGCCTTTTTGCATCCAAACAACTGAAAAAAGCAAATAATTTAACAATAACCAGATGTTCCTTCTGAGAGTTGTCTGAGTCTGAGTTTTGATTTTATCTGAGGCAGCTTCGTATATGGTAAAAACAGCAAAAAAATTAAAACTATTTTATTCAAATTTAATTCATGTAATCTGTTTAGCCCACGCCAGGAATGGAGTTGCGGAGAGCCTTAAAGATCAATTTCTTACAGTAAATGATTTAATAAGTAATGTAAAAAAAGTATTTATGAAAGCTAAAACTCGAATTTAATTATAAAGAAAAATTTCCCAGTCTTGCATTGCCGCCCCAATATGTTGGAACCCGTTGGGGTACATAGCAAAATTCAACTTTATTTTACGCCACTATGACGCTATAAAATCTGTTATTGAGGATTTGATAGAGCCGACTGCTTCTTCTGCTCTTCTTAAAACCAAAGAACGTTTCAAAAATAAAGAATTGAAAAACGTTTAAAATTTACAAAAGCAAATTATTCTTTTATTACCATTAGTTTGACAAAATTGGAGAATACATGTCTTTCTTTAGAAGCATCGATTACTTTAATAAATAATTCCAAACTCGAATGTAAGAAAGTTAAAGAAACTACAAGGTCAAAAATACTACAGGTTTTCAACTCGTTAAAAATGTATGAGATTTTTTTGTTGGTAATTTTCACACTGAAATAAACATGCCACATTTACCAATAACTCTTAACTTCCGTAGATGTTGAGCAGATTTCATTGAGCAGAGTCCATTATTTCCGTTGGTGTTGAACTTTCGAAAAATAGTTTCATATAAAAGTTTTTGACGCACAAAGTGTGCACATTTTAAAAATAAGTTATATGATACAGAGTGTTGTTAAAAACATGGTATCTAAAAATTCATTGTAGAAGCAAAAAAAAGCAGTTAAAGATACAAAAAAATACGTCTTTCCAATCACTACAGACCCGTTAAGAACTCTATTGAACCAAAGTATCAATATATTGTACAGGGTGTTAACAATGTGGACTTCAATCTAAAACTATTTAACGCAATATAACTTTTGTTTTTCTTTTCAAATGGAAGTACCTGTATATTAATACGTCATTAGATAGACAATTTACAAAGTTACAAATTTGCATTTTCATTAAGGTGTGAAATCAACCGTTTTCAAATTATAAATTATTTTATTTAAAAACTTCAAAAAGTTGTTACATTTTTGTTTTGAAGTTTTGAAAAACTGTTGGACCTATTTTAAATCGCCTGATTGATTGCGGACGCAAATTCCTATCAAGAAAAAATTAAATTAAATTAAATCGTATCGATAGAATCCCGGTACCGATTCCCTATATCTTACTCTCCGTCTGTAGTCCAGATGCTGCCCTGATGATGTCCATTTGCATTGTATTGCACGATTCGGTAAAATATCACGGTAAAGTATCACTAAACAAGTAGGTAGTACCTACTTGTTTAGTGATTTTCATCGGAGACATTTGTTAAACCAGATGTTGAGCGGGTATTTTTTAAAGAAGCCAGGGTCAATTTATGAAAAACGCTCAAGATTAAGTGCAAATAAAGTGACGATT